TTATACCTCACAGGCAGGACAGATTATGTTACTTTAGGATGGTCCATCTCATCGCCCCGCACAGTTAGCTGTGGAGTGCCACAAGGGTTTGTCCTATAGGCTGACCCTTTTCACCATCTACTTGCTACCCCTCGGACATCTCATCCAAACATAGCCTTTTCAAATCAGCTGGTTCTCTGGGAAGTAGTTGATGTATTATTCCAGCTATGGTTGCTGTGGTTATGCTAAAGGAGAGGAGAGCTAATCCAGCTCTAGTCACTCTACATCTAACTTCCAATCACTGGGCCCAATTGGCAGTTAGATTGGGCCCAGCAAAAACTTGCAAAACAGGGATCAGACCAGGGAACTATCCAACAACTTATGCCGTCTCTTTAATATAATTTAGACGCCAAGCCACAACCATATGTGAGGTGTTAATTTCACTAAATGCATTCAAGGCTTTAGATTGGGTGGAGTAAAATTATTAATTTACAGCTCCTAAAAAAATATGGTTTTGGCATTAACCTTGTAGATGGATATTCTGGTCAAGATTCTCAGTAGGCCAGATCATAGTCATTCCCCAAAAAATTAAAAAGTTAAAAACAAAGTACTGGACTTTGCTTTCCAAGTTGAAAAGACGTTTCGCTTCAATCTAGGTAGCTTTTTCAATTCAAAATTTCTGGATTAGTGTTGAATTTCAAGCTTTATAGAGTAGCCCATTAAAGCCTTGTTATGGCTTAGAAAACATGCAATTGAACCGACAGAACAGGTCAACCCCTTAACAATGCGGATTCATTGAGGTCCTTGTTAGCCTGGAGTATCCGATACTGGCCTATGTCTCTCAAAAGGGCAACATTAGGGTCATTGTTGGCCTGGAGTAAATTCAAAACATATTTTAGTTAAAATCCTGTTGAAATCCAATGCACAATATTTGACTGTACTATTTAAATTGTAAACTTCCAGTAGGTTACTGGCTAGTGAGTTGTATTACTTTTACAGCAATGTAAAAATACAGTGATTTATATCCAGAGCTACCTACTGTGATTCCACAGTTATATTACAATAATTCCATGGGCATCATAACTGTGAAGTTAGAACATGTAGCTGTAATTTTAGTAAAAATTACTGGAAAATCAGAAAATTACTGTGGAATATTTACGGGGATATATATATATATAAAATTCCCTCTGGATTACTGTACAGCATTGGTAGCCACCAATAAAGTGTAAATTTGCTGTCAAAAAATTTACAGTAAATGTACAAATGTACAATTCCACAGGCTCTGTCATTGTTACATATAACTGTAATTTTGGTGGAAATTACTGTAAAATACAATAATTTACAGAGAAATATGGTGATATATCCCCAGTAGATCACTGTGAAAGTAATGCAATTAGTAGCCAGTAATTTACCGTAAAATCACAGTAAAAACTTGAACAGTGTAAGTCTCAGGCTTAGAAATAATTTTATACCAGACTGTGAATTATTCTCCTTATCTTAGAATCTGTGACTTCTCCATATGTTTTTAGAGCTAATATAAACTTAGATACCTATGTAACTACTAAAGGACAGGATAATATATGTATACACTACCGTTCAAAAGTTTGGGGTCACATTGAAATGTCCTTATTTTTGAAGGAAAAGCACTGTACTTTTCAATGAAGATAACTTTAAACTAGTCTTAACTTTAACGAAATACACTCTATACATTGCTAATGTTGTAAATGACTATTTTAGCTGCAAATGTCTGGTTTTTGGTGCAATATCTACATAGGTGTATAGAGGCCCATTTCCAGCAACTATCACTCGAGTGTTCTAATGGTACAATGTGTTTGCTCATTGGCTCAGAAGGCTAATTGATGATTAAAAAACCCCTTGTGCAATCGTGTTCAAACATCTGAAAACAGTTTAGCTCGTTACGGAAGCTACAAAACTGACCTTCCTTTGAGCAAATAGAGTTTCTGGAGCATCACATTTGTGGGGTCAATTAAATGCTCAAAATGGCCAGAAAAAGAGAACTTTCATCTGAAACTCGACAGTCTATTCTTGTTCTTAGAAATGAAGGCTATTCCATGCGAGAAATTGCTAAGAAATTGAAGATTTCCTACAACGGTATGTACTACTCCCTTCAGAGGAAAGCACAAACCGGCTCTAACCAGAGTAGAAAAAGAAGTGGGAGGCCGCGTTGCACAACTGAGCAAGAAGATAAGTACATTAGAGTCTCTAGTTTGAGAAACAGACGCCTNTGCACAGTTTCAGTGTTACAACTGATAAAATAATTGCTGTCTGTGGTTCTACAGTAGGCTATGGTGTAATTGAGCAATATATGAAAAAAAAAGAACTATGAACTAGTTCATTTTTTTTTTTTACTGTGAACTTAGTTCAAAATTTTGAATTATGAACTGAACTAATTCATTTTAAAATTTGTGAACTGAACTTTGAACTAGTTCACATAAGAGAACTTTCCCAACACTGCAAGTCGTCCGACTTGGTTTGACTCCTCACTGGGTGAGGAGAAAAATACCAGTGTGGGTCCTTAGGCAAGACCCTTTGCGCTGCCTATCGGCGGATAGATAGCTCAAGTGGAGCAAAATTGATGACAAATCAAAGAGGCAGATAATATGAATGACATCAAAAGAGCCCAGAAAACTTCTCAAGATAAAAAATAAACTTCAAAGACCATCAGTATCAGACCACATCATCAGTCATTGATTTAGCCAAACCAGACTTAATGGAGATGAATAAGAAGGACACCATAGTTAAAAACAAACAATGTGAAACATGGAGGAGGCTGTGTAATGCTCTAAGGCTGCTTTGCTTCATCTGGTACATATCTGCAGGGTAATATTAAATCTCAAGATTATCAAGGCATTTTAGATAGAAATGTGATGCCCAGTTTCACAGTTTACCAGTCCTGCAACAGTGTAATGGCCAAAACCAAACAGCTTAAGACACCCAAGAATTGATAAGATTAAAACAGACTATTCTGAAATTGCCCTCTGTGAGCCCTGACCTAAATCCTATTGAGCATCTTTGGAGAGAGCTGAAACATGTCCTCTGGAAAAGGCATCTTTCAAACCTTAGACAACCAGAGCAATTAGCTCATAATGAGTGGACAAAAACAGCACTTTGTTTGCAGTGATTGCCTCAAAAGTTGTTGCAACAAAATGTTAAGGTAAGGGTACCATTATTTTTTCCCAAGCATGTTTCATGAGTTTATTTAATTCAAGTCACTCTATTGAAGCATGGTTAAAAAGCAATTTCGTTCATTAATTCAGTTTCATCTATATCATTTTAAGTGTACAAATAATTCTTTACACTGTTTAAGTTTAACTTAGTTGGTCTTAGATGGCTTTTCACATTTCATGGAAGATTGTCAGAAGTTCAGGGTTTTTTCTTAGAAAGGGTGGGGTACATAAGCAAAAGGGAAAAGTGGAGTCATGCGGCAGCTGTCTTAAGTTTGGCAAATGATCCCCAGACAGCAGTGTCAATGGCATGCTCTGTTGCCATGCCTCCAGCCATCTTTTTTGCCTTCTTATTGCTTTTGTCCATTTGTGGGATTGATTTTCTTAAGGACAGGGTCTGTTTATTTGCTGGTTGACTTTTATCTTGTGTATAAACAATGTATACGTTATGGTATAAAGGTTTGTAGGCTCATGGATGACAATTTTGACACTGGTTAATCAACAGTCTTCTAAGTTTTCTACAAGGTAAATGTATTCTGGGTTATATTCATCCTTCTTGTAGTTTTAGTTATTCTTTTATTCAACTTTATATTACTCTTAAGGAAGTTTCAGAACTTCTAAAACTTAGAAAAGAAAACTTAGAAAGCTGAAAGATAGCAATTATTTGTCAGGGTGCCTTGGAATAAATTTTTCTTCTGTTTGTTCCTTAGAAGATCTAGGACAGGCAAATCCCCAAATATAAATATATATACAGTATATATTCAACTAATTCCAAAGTTTTGCAAAACTAAAAAGTGATATAGGACATTTGCTGTCATACATATTTTTTAAATTGAATGAGTAAACAAACATACAATTTGACCATCCTATTATTGATTAGTCAGATTTGCTGCTTGCTGTACTATGATTTGTTTAATAAAGGAAAACACTCACAAATTTCTCAGATATCATTGTGCTTTGTTTTATTTGAATGTTAAAGTGAAAAAATAATTCAACAGATTTTTCATATTTTATGAACTCTGTTGAAAATCCAAGCTTGGGTCTCTTATTCAGCAGAATCACCCTGAAAAACAGAACAAAAAAGGAACATGGAATAGTTATAAGAGTCTGGGCTTGTTAAGAAAAGAATTGATACAATTTACTCCAATTGTGAAATAAATTGAGTTAACTGAGTTAATTAACTAAGTTAAAACAATAATGCTTTTAGATTGCAATTGCATAGTTTATTTTTTTTAATTCTAATATGTTACCTTTCCGGTGTCACGGCTCTTTGCTCGAAGTTTGTTGACCTGCGATTCAGCGATGTCAGCGCGCTCCTGAGCTTCTTCCATCTCATGTTGTACCTTCCTGAGCCTAGACATGTGAGTGTTGGCCTGCTCCTCCTGAGAGTTTTCAGATTACAATCAGTTTATTTTCAATTCAATGCAAACTTAGGGAGTTGTAATGGTTTAACTTAAAGGGAACAACATTTGGATCTACAATTTCACTTACCGCCTCCTCAGCCTGTCTCTTGTAAGCCTTGACTTTAAGCTGCAGCTTGTCCACAAGGTCCTGTAGTCTTGCCAAATTTTTTTTGTCCTCCTCAGTCTACAGTAGAGTAGTTGTCAAGAGTTATGTTAACAACATAAATTAAGACAAAATAGAAATACACTTCATACAATAGTTAGTTCAAATGTTGTACATATAGAGTTATCACCTGGTAGGTCAGCTCTTTCACTCTCCTTTCATATTTGCGGACTCCCTTTACAGCATCAGCTCCACGTCTCTGCTCGGCTTCAACTTCACTTTCCAGTTCACGCACCTGCAATGAATAATAAATATGAACACATTTACTAAGAAAAATGTAATGTGAAAATGCAAAGTGTTTTCACTGCACTCAAAGTTCCCCTTTCACAACGATCATAGTTCCTTACTGATGTTGATCAAATAGCTTGTTTTTGAAAGTTCCTTTTTTAAAATGTAAATATTAATCAGCTATTACAGTTCATACCCTCTGCTCCAGTTTCTGGAGCTGCTTCTTGCCACCCTTCATGGCGAGGTTCTCAGCCTCATCCAGGCGATGCTGCAGGTCCTTGACTGTGACCTCCAGGTTCTTCTTCATCCTCTCCAGGTGCGCACTGGTGTCTTGCTCCTTCTTCAGCTCCTCAGCCATCATGGCAGCCTGAAATGATGGGTATTTTGAACAGCAATTTTATAATCTTGGAAAATTATAGTACTTTTGTTTTAAAAGATTGTGTTTTAACTAAAATACAAACTGACATCAGTGATGGCCTTCTTGGCCTTCTCCTCTGCGTTTCTTGCTTCCTGAACAGCATCGTCCACCTCACCCTGGACCTGGACCAGATCAGCCTCGAGTTTCTTCTTGGTGTTCAGAAGGCTGGTGTTCTGAAAATTCATTAGGATAATACATTTTAGATGCATAAGTTGCATAATTTTGAGAGCCTTGACTTCTTGTTAACCACTGAAGCTCAACCTGAGAGTGAAGCAATCCGACACGCTCACTGGCATCGACCAACTCCTGCTCAGCCACTTTGCGTGCTCTCTCTGTCTGCTCCAGAGCAGCTCTCAGCTCCTCAATCTCAGCCACCATTAGTCCGTTCCTGCGCTCCACCATGGCTACCTGCTCCTTCATGTCCTCCTGTCCCCTGAGGGCATCATCAAGGTGCAGTTGTGCGTCCTAACAACAAAAATATTAATTTCAGAAATGTGGTTGTCTTGCTCCCTATGTTTAAACTGTGCTTTACCACCAAACTCACCTTGAGTTGTCCCTGGACGTTCCTCAGTTGTTTCTGGGCCTCAGCAGCCTGCCTGTTGGCATGGCTCAGCTGAATCTCCATCTCGTTCAGATCTCCCTCCATCTTCTTCTTGACTCTCAGGGCATCATTTCTGCTTCTGACCTCAGAATCCAGAGTGCTCTGCATGGAGTCAATGACTCTCTGGCTGTTTCTCTTGATCTGCTCCATTTCCTCATCCTTCTCTGCCAGCTTCCTGTCAATCTCACTCTTGACCTGGTTGAGCTCCAGCTGGACGCGCAGAATCTTGGACTCTTCATGTTCCAGAGTGCCCTTAAAGGATTAAATATTGCAAAGTTTTATGAACATGCACACATATAATAAATAAAGTATTGATTTCTTGAAATTATTTATTAACTTGTAATAAAAATATTACCTCAGCTTCCTCAAGTGCAGCCTGAATTTCAGCCTTCTCAGTCTCCACAGTCTTTTTAGCTTTCTCCAGCTCATGGATGTTCTTTCCAGTCTCACCAATCTGTTCCGTAAGATCTGAGATCTCCTCTGAATGAAAAAAAAAAAAATAATAAAGTCAAAAACATGATCTGCTATGGTCTTGCTGTGACAATATTTTCTGTTGCCCCATGACAGGTGCAGATTTCAGAATGACGTACGCTGCAGATTCTTGTTCTCCCTCTTCATGGTCTCTAGATGATCCAGAGCCTCCTCATAGGAGTTCTTCATCTTGAACAGCTCAGTGCTCAGAGAGCGGGCCTCCTTCTGGGCTCCTTCCAGCTCAGCCTGGCTCTCCTCGTACTTCTGCTTCCACTCTGCCAGGACCTGGAAATGTGAAAATGTATTAAACATGTACATTGATTTGCAAAAATATGCTTATACCAGAGAACGGCTGTACCTTGTCAAAGTTCCTCTGCTTCTTGTCAAGGTTGGCAGCCAGAGAATTGGCTCTCTCCACATCAATCATCAGGTCCTCCACTTCACCCTGGAGCCTCTGCTTGGTCTTCTCCAAAGAGGCACACTTGGAGTTCACAGCCTCGATGGACTCCTCAGCCTCCTGCAAGCGCTGGGCAAGCTTTTTCCTGTAGTGAAAATGTGTTAATTGGTAGAGATAGAAAATAACGATGACATGTTGCTTCATCAATAAAACTGTATTTTGACTCACTTGGCCTCCTCCAGCTCCTCGGTGCGCTGGATGGCATCAGTCTCATATTTGGATCTCCACTGAGCCACCTCACTGTTAGCCTTAGACATGCCTCTCTGCAGCTCAGCCTTGGCCTCCTGCTCTTCCTCAAACTGCTCTCTGAGCAGATCACAGTCATGGCGGGCTGACTGAACAGCATGGGCCAGGGCATTCTTGGCCTGTAAAACACAAGGTATTTCAGTTAACTTCCTATAGAGTATGAAGTATTTCTTAAGAAGAAAACAATTAATTTTAAGCCAACAACTGATATCCTTAAAGGAAAACAATTGATAAATATTTTCATACCTTGACTTCCTCCTCAATTTGTCTCTTGAGCTCCTCAATCTGCTGAGTGAAAGCCTGCTTGCCTCTTGTCAGCTGAGAAACAAGAGCTTCTTTCTCCTCAAGCTGGCGACCAAATTCACCTATGAAATGTAAGAATGTATTTATTGCATACATCTTAACACAAGTAAGAGATTAAATCAGTAATTTTAACATTTGGAGCCTTACCATTCTCTGTCTGGAGTCTTGCTTTCTGTGCATTAATGTCATTCAGCTGGCGGACATTCTCATCATTCTTAGCTTTGATTTCACTCAGTTGGTCCTCAAGAGTCCTGCACATTTTCTCCAAGTTGCCCTGAAATTATCAGAGACTGGTTTAAATGTACTCAGGAGTCAACAATTGAATGTATGAGCATAGCAAAATAGGAAATAGCCTCTCACCTTTGCCTTGGCAACAGCCTCCATGTTGCTGGACAGATCATCAATCTCCATCTTGTACTCGCTCTTCTCCTTCTCCAGCTTCTGCTTGACACGCTGCAGATTGTCGATCTGCTCTCCAAGCTCAGCAACGCTGTCGGCCTGCTTCTTGCGAAGAGCTGCTGCAGTAGCTTCATGCTGCAGAGTGGCTTCCTCAAGATCACGGCGCAGCTTCTGGAATTCAGCCTCACGCTTCTTGTTCATCTCAATCTGAGCAGCTGTGGCTCCACCAGCCTCCTCAAGCCTCTCACTGATCTCCTCAAGCTCCCTGGAGAGGTCAGCTCTCTGCTTCTCTACTTTAGCCCTAGCAGCTCTCTCAGCCTCAATCTCCTCTTCCAGCTCCTCAATGCGGGCCTAGAATTCAAGGGGAATGGAGGTAATAGCAAGATCATTAGATAAAAAAGATGAAAAACAATTCAGCCAAGTGCAATTAAAGAGAATCTTTCTCACCTGGAGTTCCTTGATCTTCTTCTGCAGCTGAGCTCCAAGGGACTGTTCATCCTCAATCTTGCTAAGGAGTTGGCTGATTTCAAAGTCCTTCCTGTAATTCATGAAATAATGTCAAGTTTAAGCGGGTGCTCATTTTCAAGAGTTTTCTTAACAAAAGAAAGTCAACATTTACTTCTTGATCTTCTCCTCAGACTGCTGCTTGTCATTCTCTAGATCCATGATGGATTCCTGAGCCAGTTTCAGATCTCCTTCAAGCTTTCTCTTGGCTCTCTCAAGGTCCATACGGAGCTTCTTCTCTTGCTCCAGAGATCCCTCAAGCTATAGAATATAAATTAGATTCAGTTTGAACAACTGATATAAATATCAATAAATGCCTTTCACCAAAATACAAAGTCAAATAAACAGTTTTCTTACATCGTCCACTTGCTGCTCCAGCTTTGTCTTGGCCTTGGTCAGAGTGTTGACTTTGTCTTCCTCTGCCTGGAGGTCATCCAGTGTTTGCTGATGGGCCTCTTGGAGGGCTTTCTTCTCCTTGGTCAGCTTGGCAATGGCCTCATCCTGAGTAGCCATCTCTTCTGTCAGGTTTTTCACCTAAAGTTTGTGGAAATGTAGATTCACAGTTTTACATTGATATAATGCTATAAAATGCCACATTAGTTTTTCAATGGTGTTTAACTTTGTGTAAGTTTCTCTTTGATATGAACCTTGTTTTCAGTGGCATGTTTCTCCTTTTCCACTTTAGCCAAGGTGAGTTCTAGGTCATCAATGTCCTTCTTCAGCTCAGAGCATTCATCCTCCAGCTTCCTCTTCTTTGCAGTCAGCTCAGCATTGATTTCCTCTTCATCCTCCAGTCTCTCAGTTGTCTCTTTGAGTTTGGCCTCAAGCTGGATCTTGCTCTTAATCAGCCCTTCACACCTTTCCTCAGCATCTCCAAGGCTCTCAACTTCCTACAGGGTGTTGTTAGTAGAAAAGGCATTTACCACTATGGTGATGATTCTGAAGTGTTTTGAATTTAGAAGCATCAAGCTTTCATTTAAGTGTACTCAACATCAATTACAATATCATAATGAGCTCTCCTGGTATAGCAGTCTATCTTGGTTAATGACTGATTTATGTAAATAGATGTGGCTTTTGTGAATGGTTTTCCTACTTACTGCAGCAACTTGGAGCTGCAAGTCATTCTTCTCCTGGAGCAAGGACACCATTTTCTCCTCTAGTTCCTTCTTCTTGGCCAAAGCAGCAGCCAGGTCTGATTGCATCTTCTCATAGTTCTCCTTCATCTGCATCAACTCCTTCTCAGTCTCAGCGCTCTTCAGCAGAGGCTTGATCTTGAAGTACAGGTTCATCCATGGCCAGTTCTTCACATTCATGAATGATCGGATGTTGTACTGGATGGAGTAGATAGCCTCTCTGATAGGGATTGAAGCAAAAAGTTATCTTTACTAGGAACTGAGATTGTGTTAAAAAGGTAATGCAACGATGCAACTACATGAGAAACAGCTAAATATGAGATATATCTGCTGGTCTATTGTATTTAACAACAATCCCACCTCCTCTCCATCATCTTAACAAACTCCTTTCTCATGAGATATCCTCTGCAGAGAGCCTGAGTCATGGTAACCAGCTCAGCCAGTTTCTCATCTCTCATCTCCTCAAGAGTACCCAGAAGGCCAGCTTTGAAGAACACCTGTTATCACATGAATAAATGTTTAGAACACATGGACTCTAAGGAATATAAACAGGACAATAAAAGGTAATATTGTCTTTATCAAACATACCTTAGTGTGTCCAAACTTGTACTGGGTGTGGTCCACATCAATGGAGCCCAGCAGCTTCTCAGAAGCTTTCTTGTTGTCAATAAACTGACCCTCAGGGATGACACTGGCATTCAATACTTTGTATCTATGAGGTAGAATGACAATTGTTAATCATTTTCAATAAAACAAAGTAATTATTGAAGTCAAAACTTTTAACTACTCTCACCTCTGCTTGAAGTCACCATAAAGGATTCTGCTGGGGAAGCCCTTTCTGCAGATTCTGATGCCCTCCAGCACACCGTTACACCTCAGCTGGTGGATGACCAAGAAGTTATCCATAAGACCTGAAGGTTAGAAATATATTTAGTCAAAAAAAAAATCCATAGTGCCCTATACATTTTCTGAAACTTTCACTGGGCTTCTGACCTGGGGTCTTTGTTTCATTGGGAATCAGGCAACGCACAAAGTGAGGATGAGTGCTCCTCAAGTTGGTCATCAACTTGCCCAAGTTCTCCTGTAGATCAGCACCATAATATTAATCTCCAGTTTATCTGTAACTTTTTGTTTGTTTTCAATGTTTTCTATGAAAGTTTACATACCCTGAAAAGAGCAGACACAGTCTGGAAGGAACCACCCTTCTTCTTGCCACCCTTCTTTCCACCACCACCAGCAGCCTCAGCTGAAATTATATGATGAAAAATGTCATCAAAACATTACTGATAAGTTCTCAAATCTCTTTAAACATACACAGTAGATTTGCTTTGAAATAATAAAAATAATAATATATTGTATCATATTTTTCTATTTTAAATATTCTTTAAATTATATTAAAGTTATGTATTGACTTGTTCAAAATTTATTTTATAGAGCACTAATCAATAAATTTCAATATCTATCAATATGTATCCAGGTTATTTTTCATTTAATCTTAATCTTCATTTAATCTGATAATTCTGGTTCTTACCCTCAGCTGCTCCGTGAGATGCATACAGGAAGCACAGCAGTTTGTTTCCAGACTTCTGGTAGAGCTGAACCACTGAATCGTTCAGTGGGTCCTTGTTCTTGTCCAGCCAGCCAGTGATGTTGTAGTCCACTGTACCAGCATAGTGAACCAGGGAGAAGTGAGCCTCAGCTTTGCCCTTTCCAGGCTTTGGCTTTTCAAAGGCCTTGTTCTTGCCAAGATGCTGATCAATCAGCTTGTTCTTGAAAGTTGTGTCAGAGGCTTTGGGGAACATGCATTCCTCCTCAAGGATGGAGAAGATGCCCAATGGCTGTGAAAAAAATCAAAGTTATATTGAGATGAAATGTGGATTTAAAGCTTCAAATGTATATCAAGATTAATCTGCTTTAGCTCAGACAAAACTGCTACTCACCTTCTCAATAAGCTCAATGCAGGCAGCCAAGTCCATACCGAAGTCAATCAACTCCCACTCAATGCCTTCCTTCTTGTACTCCTCTTGCTCCAGGACAAACATGTGGTGGTTGAAGAACTGCTGCAGTTTCTCATTGGTGAAGTTGATGCAGAGCTGCTCCAAGCTGTTGTACTATAATCATAAAAATGCAATTAATTGCAAACTATAGATTTTTTTCATTATTTTTCCATGTTTTTCTTCACTTACGTCAAAGATCTCAAATCCAGCAATGTCCAAGACTCCAATGAAGAAGGCTCTTGACTGCTTTGTGTCCAGCATCTCATTGATACGGATGACCATCCACAAGAACATTTTCTCATAGACAGACTTGCACAGAGCGCTGACAGAATTGTTGACCTAGAAGAAGAAATTTGCACTTTTATATTATAAACTACTGTGTAACAGTCATTTAGAAATTATTTGTGATAACTGGGCAGAAATAAAGCACGCCATCCCAGATGGGTTTTAATTTACCTGTGGGACGGTCTGACCTTTGGTGACCATCTCATTTCCGACCTTGACTCTTGGGTAGCACAAAGCCTTCAGCATATCAGCTGAGTTCAGACCCATGAGGTAGGCGATTTTATCAGCCACTATTGGGAAAGAAATATAGCACATTGTTATGGTTAGACATTCAAAACAAATTTTACCTTCAACAGCCAAAGTATAGGATGAAATTGATAATGTTCTATAAATTACCCTCAGTGCCATCAGGTTCAGCCTGCTCCTCTCTCTGCTTCTGCTTGAACTTCATGTTGCCGTGATGCATCACAGCTCCAGTGAGCTTGTAGATGTTGAACTTCTCATCAGCAGTAAAGCCCAAGATGTCAATAGCAGTCTGTGTAGAAAGGAAATCTTTAAGTACATTACACATATTCTTTTAGTAAATCATCCTCAAACAACAAAAAGTGTGATTTTACATCTGTAGCAATGAACTCCTCAATATCATTGATACTCTTGACAGTGATTTCACCCTGGCTGATCATTGGGAAGTCATAGGGGTTGGTGGTGATCAACAGAGCATCTGGAAAGATGGAGGCAAGCCACTGTCACTTCGATTGTTTAATAACGGTATGTTTTCTCAGTTAAGACTTTGTGTTGGGCTTTTACCAATGAGCTCAGGCTTGTGGCCTGTCATCAGCTGATAGAAGATATGGTAGCTCCTCTCAGCAGACAGCTGGAAGGTGACACGGGACTTCTCAAGCAGATCTGAGGATAACATGAATATAAGTAGAAATTTAGTAAAACTTCATTACATCCTAAACCATGAAACAAAATTACTTCAAGTGCTGATAACATCACGTTTTTGGCTTACATGTTTCAATATCAGCTGAGGCCAGTTTTCCACTGGTGCCAAAGTGGATCCTGATGAATTTACCCTAAGCAAAATTACAAGCATGTGTTTACACATTTATAATTCTAACAATCAAATATTAAGGAACATTTTAGTGTTGCCTGAACTTACAAAACGGGAGGAGTTGTCATTCCTGACTGTCTTGGCATTACCGTATGCCTCTAGCAGAGGGTTGGCAGCAACAATTTGGTCTTCAAGGGAGCCCTGCAGTGTCAAATTCATATGGTTGAACATTTTGTAAAATCTAATAAGCTGATGGAGGCATTTTACTTAAAACACATATTCACCTGAATTTTACCAGAGCTGCCGGCTTGCTGGTCCTTTTTGCTACCCAGAGCTGCAATTGTTGCAAAGTACTGGATGACACGCTTGGTGTTGACAGTCTTTCCAGCACCGGATTCTCCACTGTGGTACAAGAGACACATTTTTGATTCTCAAATTCATCTTTGATTTTTGTACAGTTTAGACAAAAAAAAAAAAGATCAATTAAGTTATTACTCACGTAATCAGGACAGACTGGTTCTCACGATCTGTAATTTACACAAGTAGGTTTTAGGGTCTGTATTAATTTCATGTTTCATTTATGTTTTCATATTTTTATAAAACACTTATAGTTTTGGTCTTACCTGTGAGCATGAACTGATAGGCATTGTCAGAGATGGAGAAAATGTGGGGTGGGGCCTCAATCCTCTTCTTGCCTCTGTATCCTGCTACAACAACAGCATCATACACTGGAAGCCACTTGTAGGGATTCACGACCACGCAGAACAACCCGGAATAGGTCTGTTAATGTAGAAAGGATAGCAATAACTCATAAATCTTTTCACATAAAGAGCCATTTAAATGATGTATGTAATATTATCTTTGGTTCTAAATAACAAACTCACGTAGATCATCCAGGATGCAAAACGGTCTTTCAGGTTATACAGCACACAAGGCTCATTGAGGTGGGTCATCATGGCCAAGTCCTCAATTTTGTCGAACTTTGGAGGATTTCTGGGGAAGATTTCATCCTCTTTGACAGTGACGGTCTAAAACAAGAAGTAAGATTTTGTATTTTGTACATCATGTCAGAAGATAGTAACTAAGATAAAACAGAACAAAATCTCAAAAAATTTAAATTCTTCCAAATTACATTCTTACAAATTCTTAAAATTCTTACCTTTCCTCCATCGGTCTCAACTGTGGCTTTGCCACCCTCCTTCTTGATGACTTTACACTTGACATAGAGTTCATCAGCATCCACCACGAAATAGGCAGACTTGGCATCAAAGGGGGTACTCTGAGCCTCAATCCTCTCCTTTTCTGACTTCCGGAGGTAAATGGCCGCCGGGCCATACTGCTCCATTTCAGCGTCGGTGCTCATGGTGGCACTTTGGTGGAACCTGTAATTTTTGCAGACATCCCTTATTAATGAAAATAAATCTTAACAAGAATATGTGTTTGAGTGTGATTTTGAATTATTTAAATTATATAAAATCTTCTTTAAATAATAAAAAAAGTGATGAATTGACTTGTTCTAAATTTGGTGTGATTTTTGAAATGCCCTTTGGACATAATTTGCTTACCTTACCACAGGATCCTGACTGAGAACTACTGATGTCTTGTGTAAATCCGAAGATGCTACAAAATAGAAAGTAAAAAGTTTAAAAAAGTTTTTACACAGCCTAACATATGTATTTTTTTTTTTTACTACAGATAGCTTTTAATTGAGTTTACCCTGCAAATACAGCTATATTTACAGCTATGTTTTTTTTATTAATATATATAACTAAAACTTTGAAAACCTTAAAAAATGTTTATCTGCATTACACATAACTGACTGCTCTCACCTGAGTCAGATGCCTGCCAGTTGACTTAGGCATCCAGAGTAGCTGCTTATATATGCTCAAGTGTGTCTACTCAGCACAAGGGGGTTGCTCAGTTTGGTATAGTGCAAAATGCTAATCATCTCTTTACTTGGAAGTGATGTCCCGTTTTGTATGTAGGTGTAGCCACAATCTTTATTTGTAATGGTTTCTTGTAGGTAAATAAATGAAATAAGTAATTTTTCCCTCTTATTTTATTTAATTGAGCATCAAAAAATGCTTGATTAAATTTAATTAATATGTGTTAAGCATTCACACTGTTATATGCTTGATGAATATTCACCGATAGAGACATTTGAGTCCCATTTTTTCAAGTATACTTAAAAAATACAACTACAATTTCTATGCTGAATTTATTAAAAACGTAACTACATTGAGTCCGAATAATTGGCTTGTGAATATATTTACGAGGTTTCTTTATGTTCACAGTTTTTCTAATTCAACATAGGAGGATGTGCTGCATGGTTTGTTAAGTATTTTCCCCATTAAATGACATGATTTATTTAGGCTCAATTTTCAGTTCACACACTTTATGATATGCATTTGTCTCCGTTTAATTTTAATATCACAGGCAGTGCTGAGTCTCAAGAAGTCAGAAGGCTCCGAATGCTACTGGTGTACAATTGCAGGATACACATGCCTCGGATACCCGATACTAATTTCACACAAACTATTTCCATTTGAGGCAGAGGAGTGCTGAAGGGAACACTGGAGAGGAACTGCAGACTCAGATCCTAACATAAATAACATGTAGTAAAAGGAAATGCTTCAATTAGGCACCTGGTTTTATTTGTTTATTAAAAAGTTATACTAAGATTACTTTTATGAGCAAATTATAATGACATGGTTAAGCGTTTTGATAAAGAATTATGTAAGTAATTTCCCTCTGAGATTATTAAAGTATTTCTGATTTTGATTCTGATTTTGAAGATCACAACATAGTGTTGTAATTTGCTAACACAAATGCATATATTTATTCCTGTAAAACATGTTAGATCAAACCATTTAATTGGACCCTATAAATAAGAATATGATATATAATCTCGTTCATGTACATCTAAAGGTAAATGGACAAATATTTTTGCCAATATAGTGTATTTGTATTTTTTGCTTGTCTTTGCACCTTCTGATCTGCTATGAAAGTTAAATTGACCAGGAGCTTCACACTGACTGAAACCTGCTAATGATCTTTTTTTCCTAAACCCAGAGACAGAGGTGGGCTTGTCAACCGTGGTTCCTGCTGGTGGCAACTCTCACAATATCAAATTAATATAGTAAATAAGTTCTGAATTATTTTCATTAAAGTAATCTATGGGTCAGTTTTTTCACACAGCCAATGAGCTACAGAGAAAGAAACAGTGGCATTAGTGAAAACATTTGATGTGTATTTGGGTTCTGGTGTGCCAAGGCCTGGTATCTTTAAGGACCCCAATCCATTAACTATTTTGAATTATCTGCATTGCCCAAATTGTTTAGATAGCAATTGTTTCTACAGTTCTACTGGCACGATATTTGCATTTTTTTTTTCTTTATATTTTCCTTCATAAATAGCTTCCAAGTGGTACCAGGTTGCTAAATTAGGAGATTTAACAACAAGGTGGAAGAGAGTGGCATCACAGCAGGTATACTTTTCAGTGTACTGTATTTTGTAAATGTTAAAAGTAAAACTGTTTCATATTGTATTGAAATCCTTTTGGAATTTTTTACTTTAAGTGGTAGCCTTTAATTTGAAGTTTAAGTTGATCTAACGTAGATGATTATGGCTTACTGTTAAGGCAGAACTGTGTAACTTTTACCCGCTATGGATTAAAACTGCTTTAAGACTCAGACTGGCTCCCTTGGTCTACTTGGGTCCCTAGGTCTCATGAGATGGATGGAAGGCTCATAATTTGAAACACTTGATGCCACTGATATCACAGGGAGAGCTCTTCATGCAAAGCAGTCCGGGATATAGCTCCTCGTCTAGTGAACATGGTTAATCACTAGTTTTCAAGGTGCATTGTGAGAAATTTCAAGTCCATCACTTTTTCATCCACTAGACTTTTAGACACTCCTCAAAAAAGGGTGTAACCACTATATATTATATAGTGATAAGGGCGTAAATTAAGACACAGCCTAACAGAAGGATTTTTAAGACTATTCTCTGAGTTACAAGGAGCCAGTCTAAGGACTTCAGAACCAGGCTGATGTGTTCTACTTTCTTAGTTCTTGTGAGAACAGGTGCAGCAGCGTTTTGGATCAGCTGCAGTTGTCTGATGGACGTTTTATGCAAACCCATGAAGACACTGTTGCAGCAATCAATTCTACTCACAATAAATCCATGAATGAGTTTTTCTTTATCCTGCTTGGACTTTAGTCCTTTAATCCTGGAAATGTTCTTCAGTTAATAAAAGACTGACTTGGTAACTGCCTGTATGTGCCTATGAAGGTTCAGGTCTGAGTCCATCATGACACCAAGATTTTGGCCATAATCAGTGGTTTCTAGCTGTAGTAGCTGAAGCTGTGAGCTAACTCTTGATCTCTCCTCTTTTGATCTGAAGACTATTACCTCGGTTTTCTTTTTTTTTCAGTTGCAGAAAATCATGATGCATCAACATGTTGATATGTTTTAAGCATGTAGTCAGCACCCTGATGGGTTCAAATTCACCTGGTGACATTGTGATGTAAAGCTGTGTGTCGTCTGCGTCACAATCTCAGCACTGATGCCTGGTCTGATTACTCATTTCACATACCTGCTTAACTCCACCCATTTTTTGTTATCCTTCATCTGATCCACCTGCATTAGCCTATATGTAACCAGCCTTCAGACCAGTCATCAGTGCCAGATTATTCAAGCCAATTGGTGAGTCTTATTCTAGCTTACCTGTATTCTGATTACCTGATTGTGACCAGTTCTGCTTCTCGACCTCTGAGCCTGCCTGTCCATGTATTATCTGTTTGCCTGACCTGTGTTCTGACTCCTGCTGGATTTCTGCCTGTTTGTTTACCATACCTGTAACTGACCCGACTCCATCCTGGATTCTCCCTCTGCAGTTCACTGTATGTCTGACCTCCTGACTCTGGCCACTGAGCTCGGCATCAGCTTTGGCTTTGCCCTCTGGATTACTCTGCCTACATTCTTCTGCTCAGTTCTGATCTCCTGCCTGTCCACCGACCACCAAGACATCAGCATCTGGGAAATCTGTGCTGCTACGCGCCATGTTTGCAACTGACCAGCTGGAACCAATCTCATTCTCTGGGCTCGAACTGTTTAGTTTATTCAATGGTTCAAGTCCTGGTTCCTGGCGGCCAGTGGAGTGAGATGGTTTTTCATGTCTGTCTTGTCTTCTGATTGTGTCCTGGTCCTTCTCCACAGAGCCCTCAGGGCTTTGGCTCGGAATGCGGAGAGGGTCAGTTTTATTCCTGTAAGCCTGGCTTTAAAGTTTCCTGCAGAAATCCAGGGACCACGTCTTGTCTCTATCCCCTCAACCATTGAGCCTGCCCGTTTGCATCTGAGCCTGCCTGTCTACATCTGTGCATGTCTGCTGGGGCACGCTTCTGGACCCGTCGTATTCTGGACTCTGAACCTGCCGGAACGCTCTGTGGATTCAAATCTGGATCCTTCTGTTCCTGTTTAGGTCAGAACTTCTGATCAGCTGTGGGCTCTTGGATTCCTAGTCTGTTCCTGCCTGCTCTGTTTTCCCCTGACTTGGATCGGCTTCCAGCTTGTTCTCCAAGGCTGCAGCATCTGAAACACTCTGGGCTGCACCAGCCCATCCGCTGGATCTCACCTCTTTCAAAGAGGATGGACTGAACTGTCAAACCAGGTAAGTGACCCAAAAGGATAATCATCTGGTGTCAGATGATCGTAGTCTCTTACTTGTGTTTCTCCCTTAAGAGTGTCCATTATTGGGTGGTTCCCCGCCCCCTCCTGCAGTCGCCATGAGCTGCAGCTCCACAGCCCCATGCTTTTCTTCTGTTCTGTTTTTGTTAATAAATGTTTTAAACATTCCTACTGACTGTCTCACCTTGAATACTGGGTCCATCTGTTCTGTTCATGACAAAACCTGTGCCATTGACATCAAGGAGTAGACCAATAAAACTGTGCAGGACCTTCAGTAGTGTTTGGACTACACTTAATGGGATTCTTTTAGGACTGCTTCCAACAGCCTGGATGAGGCTGTGAAATCCTACATCAGCTTCTGTGAGGACAGCTGTATCACAGCTCTTAACAGGGTAAATTATAACAACGGTAAACCCTGTTTTGCATCCAAACTCACACAACTAACATTGACAAATGTGGGAGAAATTAAAAACATATAGACTTGAAGTTGTTTCGGTCATTAATGTATAGTTTTATCAAGGAGGTATAGAGAAGCTAAAAGACTGTCCACAGATAAACTTAAAGACCAGTTCTCTGCTAATAATTCCTTACCTGTCTGAACCTACTTCAGACAGATCACTAACTATACACCCAGCATCCCCTACTCAATTAATGACTCAAAATGAGTTAAACCAGTTCTACTGCCTATTTGGGAGTCAGTCAGTCAGTCACCATCCACTTTGACTACTCAATTCAGTCTCAGCCGTAGTACAACATTTTCTCCCCTTTCTACTCAGAGTAGGCCAGCTCCACCCACTCCCTCCATTTCACAGAAGGAAGTCAATAGACAGTTTAACAGGCAGAAACTCTGCAAATCAGTTTGGCTGGATTGTGTTCCCCCATCCACCATACAGTAATTTGCCGATCAGCTGTCCCTAGTGTTCACAGAAAAGTCTGAAACATAACCAGAGACATGCCATGTGGCAGCCTGCTTCAAAGCATCTACCATAATCCCAATCCCTAAAAAACAAGTACCAAAAAAAAACTAAATGACTTCAAACCTGTTGGTCTGGCCTCTATCGTAACAAAACCTTATAAGTACCTTGTGCTTACCTTAAATTCATTTAAGTTCATCACACATTTGGCTACAGAGCCAACAGTTCTGTGAAAAACAGGTCTGTGGATAATGCAATAAACATGGCCCTTTTCTAAATCCCACAGGAGGTTCTAGGTTGAGTGACACAACAATCTGGACAGCTACTGTACAATGGTGTAGGTATTGGTATATTATTACTATAATACTATGTGAAGGTTCCTCAAAAAGAGTATCTCTCCTAAGTAGTTGTATTTCTTTGAGCGTTTTTGATGTTTTATCTTTATTTATGCAAAGTAGTTTTGATAAGTTAAAGTTACAATTACCAAAGCAAGGTAAGGAGCAGAGAATACAATTGCAAAGCAATTACATTTTTATGCCACATGCATTGCATGAAGGCACTCATGATTCTAAACCTATACTATACTATACTATACCGATACTTTTTTTCTCTTCCTTGTTTAGGATAAATATATATATATATATATATATATATATATATATATATATATATATATATATATATATATATATATATATATATATACGCTACCGTTCAAAAGTTTGGGGTCATATTGAAATGTCCTTATTTTTGAAGGAAAAGCACCGTATTTTTCAATGAAGATAACTTTAAACTAGTCTTAACTTTAAAGAAATACACTCTATACATTGCTAATGTGGTAAATGACTACTCTAGCTGCAAATGTCTGGTTTTTGTTGCAATTTCTACATAGGTGTATAGAGGCCCATTTCCAGCAACAATCACTCCAGTGTTCTAATGGTACAATGTGTTTGCTCATTGGCTCAGAAGGCTAATTGATGATTAGAAAACCCTTGTGCAATCATGTTCACACAACTGAAAACAGTTTAGCTCATTACAGAAGCTACAAAACTGACCTTCCTTTGAGCAGATTGAGTTTCTGGAGCATCACATTTGTGGTGTCAATTAAATGCTCAAAATGGCCATAAAAAGAGAACTTTCATCTGAAACTCGACAGTCTATTCTTGTTCTTAGAAATGAAGACTATTCCATGCGAGAAATTGCTAAGAAATTGAAGATTTCCTTTAACGGTGTGTACTACTCCCTTCAGAGGACAGAAGTGGGAGGCCGCGTTGCACAACTGAGCAAGAAGATAAGTACATTAGAGTCTCTAGTTTGAGAAACAGATGCCTCACAGGTCCCGAACTGGCATCTTCATTAAATAGTACCCGCAAAACACCAGTGTCAACATCTACAGTTAAGAGGCAGCTGTGGGATTCTGGGCTTCAGGGCAGAGTGGCAAAGAAAAAGCCATATCTGAGATTGGCCAATAAAAGAAAAAGATTAAGATGGGCAAAAGAACACAGACATTGGACAGAGGAAGACTGGAAAAAAGTGTTGTGGACGGATGAATCCAAGTTTGAGGTGTTTGGATCACAAAGAAAGTTTGTGAGACGCAGAACAAATGAAAAGATGCTGGAAGAATGCCTGACGCCATCTGTTAAGCGTGGTGGAGGTAATGTGATGGTGTTGGGGTTGCTTTGGTTCTGGTAAGGTGGAGATTTGTACAGGGTAATAGGGATTCTGAATAAGGAAGGCTATCATTCCATTTTGCAACGTCATGCCAAACCCAGTGGACAGCGCTTGATTGGAGCCAATTTCATCCTACAACAGGACAATGACCCTAAACACACTCCAAATTGTACAAGTACTATTAAGAGCAGAAGCAGGCAGCTGGTATTCGGTATCGGTAATGGAGTAGCCAGCGCAGTCACCAGATATGAACCCCATTGAGCTGTTGTGGGAGCAGCTTGACCTTATGGTACGCTAGAAGTGCCCATCCAACCAATCCAACTTGTGGGAGCTGCTTCTGGAAGCGTGGGTTGCAATTTCTCCAGATTACCTCAACAAATTAACAGCTAGAATGCCAAAGGTCTGCAATGCTGTAATTGCTGCAAATGGAGAATTGTTTGACGAAAGCAAAGTTTGATGTAAAAAATATATTATTTCAAATACAAATCATTATTTCTAACCTTGTCAATGTCTTGACTATTTTCTATTCATCTAACAACGTACGGTAGTGAATAAGTGTGACTTTTCAGGAAAACACAAAATTGTTTGGGTGACCCCAAATTTTTGAATGATAGTGTATATATATATATATATATATATATATATATATATATATATATATATATATATATATATATATATATATACAAGTAGTCAGTGTTGTGCCTGAACGCGTTCATTGAACGAAAGTTCATGAACTCGTTCATATTTTGGGCGAACGTGAACTGAACGTACTGTATTACTGCCTGATGAATGTTATTGTAAACTCGTTCGCTCTCTCAGTTCAACTTTGTTCAATAGGTTGCCAGATTTCTATAGAGCCCTCCAGGCGAAACCCCAGCTAAATCACACCGTAAACAAGCCTTAATATGTAGCGGGAAAAACACCCAATCTGGCAACACCAGCTACCAGTGTCGTAGCCTACAGCCGCGTGCGTCATCGAAACAAAATGCAGCTTGGAAGCCACAGCAGCATGGAGGCGACCGTGGAGGTAGCAAAGCAGCAGTATGATCACTTAAAACAGTTTTATGACCAGGTGGTCGGTGAGGATGATGGCAACAATCTTACATTTCTCTGCAAACTTTGCCCGCCAGCTTTCAGTAAAAAAATCCACACTTAAACCTGCCTGGTATAATTTTCCAGGATTCCAGTATTCCTTTTTAGTATGTACTGAAATGAAATTTCANTGGGGAAATGCTGTCCTCTCAATGCTAATGTAAACCCTGGTTGGATTAGGAATTAAAAACTAGATATGAAGATGAAATCTGATGCACAGTTTCAGTGTTACAACTGATAAAATAATTGCTGTCTGTGGTTCTACAGTAGGCTATGGTGTAATTGAGCAATATATGAAAAAAAAAGAACTATGAACTAGTTCATTTTTTTTTTTTACTGTGAACTTAGTTCAAAATTTTGAATTATGAACTGAACTAATTCATTTTAAAATTTGTGAACTGAACTTTGAACTAGTTCACATAAGAGAACTTTCCCAACACTGCAAGTCGTCCGACTTGGTTTGACTCCTCACTGGGTGAGGAGAAAAATACCAGTGTGGGTCCTTAGGCAAGACCCTTTGCGCTGCCTATCGGCGGATAGATAGCTCAAGTGGAGCAAAATTGATGACAAATCAAAGAGGCAGATAATATGAATGACATCAAAAGAGCCCAGAAAACTTCTCAAGATAAAAAATAAACTTCAAAGACCATCAGTATCAGACCACATCATCAGTCATTGATTTAGCCAAACCAGACTTAATGGAGATGAATAAGAAGGACACCATAGTTAAAAACAAACAATGTGAAACATGGAGGAGGCTGTGTAATGCTCTAAGGCTGCTTTGCTTCATCTGGTACATATCTGCAGGGTAATATTAAATCTCAAGATTATCAAGGCATTTTAGATAGAAATGTGATGCCCAGTTTCACAGTTTACCAGTCCTGCAACAGTGTAATGGCCAAAACCAAACAGCTTAAGACACCCAAGAATTGATAAGATTAAAACAGACTATTCTGAAATTGCCCTCTGTGAGCCCTGACCTAAATCCTATTGAGCATCTTTGGAGAGAGCTGAAACATGTCCTCTGGAAAAGGCATCTTTCAAACCTTAGACAACCAGAGCAATTAGCTCATAATGAGTGGACAAAAACAGCACTTTGTTTGCAGTGATTGCCTCAAAAGTTGTTGCAACAAAATGTTAAGGTAAGGGTACCATTATTTTTTCCCAAGCATGTTTCATGAGTTTATTTAATTCAAGTCACTCTATTGAAGCATGGTTAAAAAGCAATTTCGTTCATTAATTCAGTTTCATCTATATCATTTTAAGTGTACAAATAATTCTTTACACTGTTTAAGTTTAACTTAGTTGGTCTTAGATGGCTTTTCACATTTCATGGAAGATTGTCAGAAGTTCAGGGTTTTTTCTTAGAAAGGGTGGGGTACATAAGCAAAAGGGAAAAGTGGAGTCATGCGGCAGCTGTCTTAAGTTTGGCAAATGATCCCCAGACAGCAGTGTCAATGGCATGCTCTGTTGCCATGCCTCCAGCCATCTTTTTTGCCTTCTTATTGCTTTTGTCCATTTGTGGGATTGATTTTCTTAAGGACAGGGTCTGTTTATTTGCTGGTTGACTTTTATCTTGTGTATAAACAATGTATACGTTATGGTATAAAGGTTTGTAGGCTCATGGATGACAATTTTGACACTGGTTAATCAACAGTCTTCTAAGTTTTCTACAAGGTAAATGTATTCTGGGTTATATTCATCCTTCTTGTAGTTTTAGTTATTCTTTTATTCAACTTTATATTACTCTTAAGGAAGTTTCAGAACTTCTAAAACTTAGAAAAGAAAACTTAGAAAGCTGAAAGATAGCAATTATTTGTCAGGGTGCCTTGGAATAAATTTTTCTTCTGTTTGTTCCTTAGAAGATCTAGGACAGGCAAATCCCCAAATATAAATATATATACAGTATATATTCAACTAATTCCAAAGTTTTGCAAAACTAAAAAGTGATATAGGACATTTGCTGTCATACATATTTTTTAAATTGAATGAGTAAACAAACATACAATTTGACCATCCTATTATTGATTAGTCAGATTTGCTGCTTGCTGTACTATGATTTGTTTAATAAAGGAAAACACTCACAAATTTCTCAGATATCATTGTGCTTTGTTTTATTTGAATGTTAAAGTGAAAAAATAATTCAACAGATTTTTCATATTTTATGAACTCTGTTGAAAATCCAAGCTTGGGTCTCTTATTCAGCAGAATCACCCTGAAAAACAGAACAAAAAAGGAACATGGAATAGTTATAAGAGTCTGGGCTTGTTAAGAAAAGAATTGATACAATTTACTCCAATTGTGAAATAAATTGAGTTAACTGAGTTAATTAACTAAGTTAAAACAATAATGCTTTTAGATTGCAATTGCATAGTTTATTTTTTTTAATTCTAATATGTTACCTTTCCGGTGTCACGGCTCTTTGCTCGAAGTTTGTTGACCTGCGATTCAGCGATGTCAGCGCGCTCCTGAGCTTCTTCCATCTCATGTTGTACCTTCCTGAGCCTAGACATGTGAGTGTTGGCCTGCTCCTCCTGAGAGTTTTCAGATTACAATCAGTTTATTTTCAATTCAATGCAAACTTAGGGAGTTGTAATGGTTTAACTTAAAGGGAACAACATTTGGATCTACAATTTCACTTACCGCCTCCTCAGCCTGTCTCTTGTAAGCCTTGACTTTAAGCTGCAGCTTGTCCACAAGGTCCTGTAGTCTTGCCAAATTTTTTTTGTCCTCCTCAGTCTACAGTAGAGTAGTTGTCAAGAGTTATGTTAACAACATAAATTAAGACAAAATAGAAATACACTTCATACAATAGTTAGTTCAAATGTTGTACATATAGAGTTATCACCTGGTAGGTCAGCTCTTTCACTCTCCTTTCATATTTGCGGACTCCCTTTACAGCATCAGCTCCACGTCTCTGCTCGGCTTCAACTTCACTTTCCAGTTCACGCACCTGCAATGAATAATAAATATGAACACATTTACTAAGAAAAATGTAATGTGAAAATGCAAAGTGTTTTCACTGCACTCAAAGTTCCCCTTTCACAACGATCATAGTTCCTTACTGATGTTGATCAAATAGCTTGTTTTTGAAAGTTCCTTTTTTAAAATGTAAATATTAATCAGCTATTACAGTTCATACCCTCTGCTCCAGTTTCTGGAGCTGCTTCTTGCCACCCTTCATGGCGAGGTTCTCAGCCTCATCCAGGCGATGCTGCAGGTCCTTGACTGTGACCTCCAGGTTCTTCTTCATCCTCTCCAGGTGCGCACTGGTGTCTTGCTCCTTCTTCAGCTCCTCAGCCATCATGGCAGCCTGAAATGATGGGTATTTTGAACAGCAATTTTATAATCTTGGAAAATTATAGTACTTTTGTTTTAAAAGATTGTGTTTTAACTAAAATACAAACTGACATCAGTGATGGCCTTCTTGGCCTTCTCCTCTGCGTTTCTTGCTTCCTGAACAGCATCGTCCACCTCACCCTGGACCTGGACCAGATCAGCCTCGAGTTTCTTCTTGGTGTTCAGAAGGCTGGTGTTCTGAAAATTCATTAGGATAATACATTTTAGATGCATAAGTTGCATAATTTTGAGAGCCTTGACTTCTTGTTAACCACTGAAGCTCAACCTGAGAGTGAAGCAATCCGACACGCTCACTGGCATCGACCAACTCCTGCTCAGCCACTTTGCGTGCTCTCTCTGTCTGCTCCAGAGCAGCTCTCAGCTCCTCAATCTCAGCCACCATTAGTCCGTTCCTGCGCTCCACCATGGCTACCTGCTCCTTCATGTCCTCCTGTCCCCTGAGGGCATCATCAAGGTGCAGTTGTGCGTCCTAACAACAAAAATATTAATTTCAGAAATGTGGTTGTCTTGCTCCCTATGTTTAAACTGTGCTTTACCACCAAACTCACCTTGAGTTGTCCCTGGACGTTCCTCAGTTGTTTCTGGGCCTCAGCAGCCTGCCTGTTGGCATGGCTCAGCTGAACCTCCATCTCGTTCAGATCTCCCTCCATCTTCTTCTTGACTCTCAGGGCATCATTTCTGCTTCTGACCTCAGAATCCAGAGTGCTCTGCATGGAATCAATGACTCTCTGGCTGTTTCTCTTGATCTGCTCCATTTCCTCATCCTTCTCTGCCAGCTTCCTGTCAATCTCACTCTTGACCTGGTTGAGCTCCAGCTGGACCCGGAGAATCTTGGACTCTTCATGTTCCAGAGTGCCCTTAAAGGATTAAATATTGCAAAGTTTTATGAACATGCACACATATAATAAATAAAGTATTGATTTCTTGAAATTATTTATTAACTTGTAATAAAAATATTACCTCAGCTTCCTCAAGTGCAGCCTGAATTTCAGCCTTCTCAGTCTCCACAGTCTTTTTAGCTTTCTCCAGCTCATGGATGTTCTTTCCAGTCTCACCAATCTGTTCCGTAAGATCTGAGATCTCCTCTGAATGAAAAAAAAAAAAATAATAAAGTCAAAAACATGATCTGCTATGGTCTTGCTGTGACAATATTTTCTGTTGCCCCATGACAGGTGCAGATTTCAGAATGACGTACGCTGCAGATTCTTGTTCTCCCTCTTCATGGTCTCTAGATGATCCAGAGCCTCCTCATAGGAGTTCTTCATCTTGAACAGCTCAGTGCTCAGAGAGCGGGCCTCCTTCTGGGCTCCTTCCAGCTCAGCCTGGCTCTCCTCGTACTTCTGCTTCCACTCTGCCAGGACCTGGAAATGTAAAAATGAATTAAAACCTGTTTTTTTTTTTTTGCACAAATATGCTTGTCCTGAAGAAATACTGTACTTTGTCAAAGTTCCTCTGCTTCTTGTCGAGGTTGGCAGCAAGAGAATTGGCTCTCTCCACATCAATCATCAGGTCCTCCACTTCACCCTGGAGCCTCTGCTTGGTCTTCTCCAAAGAGGCACACTTGGAGTTCACAGCCTCGATGGACTCCTCAGCCTCCTGCAAGCGCTGGGCAAGCTTTTTCCTGTAGTGAAAATGTGTTAATTGGTAGAGATAGAAAATAACGATGACATGTTGCTTCATCAATAAAACTGTATTTTGACTCACTTGGCCTCCTCCAGCTCCTCGGTGCGCTGGATGGCATCAGTCTCATATTTGGATCTCCACTGAGCCACCTCACTGTTAGCCTTAGACATGCCTCTCTGCAGCTCAGCCTTGGCCTCCTGCTCTTCCTCAAACTGCTCTCTGAGCAGATCACAGTCATGGCGGGCTGACTGAACAGCATGGGCCAGGGCGTTCTTGGCCTGTAAAACACAAGGTATTTCAGTTAACTTCCTATAGAGTATGAAGTATTTCTTAAGAAGAAAACAATTAATTTTAAGCCAACAACTGATATCCTTAAAGGAAAACAATTGATAAATATTTTCATACCTTGACTTCCTCCTCAATTTGTCTCTTGAGCTCCTCAATCTGCTGAGTGAAAGCCTGCTTGCCTCTTGTCAGCTGAGAAACAAGAGCTTCTTTCTCCTCAAGCTGGCGACCAAATTCACCTATGAAATGTAAGAATGTATTTATTGCATACATCTTAACACAAGTAAGAGATTAAATCAGTAATTTTAACATTTGGAGCCTTACCATTCTCTGTCTGGAGTCTTGCTTTCTGTGCATTAATGTCATTCAGCTGGCGGACATTCTCATCATTCTTAGCTTTGATTTCACTCAGTTGGTCCTCAAGAGTCCTGCACATTTTCTCCAAGTTGCCCTGAAATTATCAGAGACTGGTTTAAATGTACTCAGGAGTCAACAATTGAATGTATGAGCATAGCAAAATAGGAAATAGCCTCTCACCTTTGCCTTGGCAACAGCCTCCATGTTGCTGGACAGATCATCAATCTCCATCTTGTACTCGCTCTTCTCCTTCTCCAGCTTCTGCTTGACACGCTGCAGATTGTCGATCTGCTCTCCAAGCTCAGCAACGCTGTCGGCCTGCTTCTTGCGAAGAGCTGCTGCAGTAGCTTCATGCTGCAGAGTGGCTTCCTCAAGATCACGGCGCAGCTTCTGGAATTCAGCCTCACGCTTCTTGTTCATCTCAATCTGAGCAGCTGTGGCTCCACCAGCCTCCTCAAGCCTCTCACTGATCTCCTCAAGCTCCCTGGAGAGGTCAGCTCTCTGCTTCTCTACTTTAGCCCTAGCAGCTCTCTCAGCCTCAATCTCCTCTTCCAGCTCCTCAATGCGGGCCTAGAATTCAAGGGGAATGGAAGTAATAGCAAGATCATTAGATAAAAAAGATGAAAAACAATTCAGCCAAGTGCAATTAAAGAGAATCTTTCTCACCTGGAGTTCCTTGATCTTCTTCTGCAGCTGAGCTCCAAGGGACTGTTCATCCTCAATCTTGCTAAGGAGTTGGCTGATTTCAAAGTCCTTCCTGTAATTCATGAAATAATGTCAAGTTTAAGCGGGTGCTCATTTTCAAGAGTTTTCTTAACAAAAGAAAGTCAACATTTACTTCTTGATCTTCTCCTCAGACTGCTGCTTGTCATTCTCTAGATCCATGATGGATTCCTGAGCCAGTTTCAGATCTCCTTCAAGCTTTCTCTTGGCTCTCTCAAGGTCCATACGGAGCTTCTTCTCTTGCTCCAGAGATCCCTCAAGCTATAGAATATAAATTAGATTCAGTTTGAACAACTGATATAAATATCAATAAATGCCTTTCACCAAAATACAAAGTCAAATAAACAGTTTTCTTACATCGTCCACTTGCTGCTCCAGCTTTGTCTTGGCCTTGGTCAGAGTGTTGACTTTGTCTTCCTCTGCCTGGAGGTCATCCAGTGTTTGCTGATGGGCCTCTTGGAGGGCTTTCTTCTCCTTGGTCAGCTTGGCAATGGCCTCATCCTGAGTAGCCATCTCTTCTGTCAGGTTTTTCACCTAAAGTTTGTGGAAATGTAGATTCACAGTTTTACATAGAGATAATGCTGTAAAGTGCCACATTAGTTTTTCAATGGTGTTTAACTTTGTGTAAGTTTCTATTTGATATGAACCTTGTTTTCAGTGGCATGTTTCTCCTTTTCCACTTTAGCCAAGGTGAGCTCTAGATCATCAATGTCCTTCTTCAGCTCAGAGCATTCATCCTCCAGCTTCCTCTTCTTGGCAGTCAGCTCAGCATTGATTTCCTCTTCATCCTCCAGTCTCTCAGTTGTCTCTTTGAGTTTGGCCTCAAGCTGGATCTTGCTCTTAATCAGCCCTTCACACCTTTCCTCAGCATCTCCAAGGCTCTCAACTTCCTACAGGGTGTTGTTAGTAGAAAAGGCATTTACCACTATGGTGATGATTCTGAAGTGTTTTGAATTTAGAAGCATCAAGCTTTCATTTAAGTGTACTCAACATCAATTACAATATCATAATGAGCTCTCCTGGTATAGCAGTCTATCTTGGTTAATGACTGATTTATGTAAATAGATGTGGCTTTTGTGAATGGTTTTCCTACTTACTGCAGCAACTTGGAGCTGCAAGTCATTCTTCTCCTGGAGCAAGGACACCATTTTCTCCTCTAGTTCCTTCTTCTTGGCCAAAGCAGCAGCCAGGTCTGATTGCATCTTCTCATAGTTCTCCTTCATCTGCATCAACTCCTTCTCAGTCTCAGCGCTCTTCAGCAGAGGCTTGATCTTGAAGTACAGGTTCATCCATGGCCAGTTCTTCACATTCATGAATGATCGGATGTTGTACTGGATGGTATAGATAGACTCTCTGAGAGAAAAGTCCAATAAAAAGAGAACATTTTACTTTAAAGCAACTCTAAAGAATTGCCCTCTAGTT